CTCAAGGGAGCCACCAAACTATACGGGAGCCATTGAGACGTAAAACCCCACTACGACAGACAGACAGACAGACAGGTAAAACAAGGCCTACTAAATGGCTCTCCTCACATTTAGACAGACAGACACAGACAGACAGACAGACGCAGACAGACAGACAGACAGACAGACAGACAGACAGGTAAAACAAGACCTACTAAATGTTCCTACCAGCTGAGAGTCTTTAAAGGTGTTAAAATAAAGACTCGGCGTTTAATGACCCCTAAATTCCTCGGCCATCAAAACAACAACAACCAACACCAACAGCAACAACAACAACAACAACAACGACAACAAGAGAATAGCATCACCGTGACTTAAAAGTTTAATGAGAACTTTTAACTACCATACAAATTAAGGGGAAGGCCATTATAACCAGGCCCGTGTGTGTGTGTGTGTGTGTGTGTGTGTGTGTGTGTGTGTGTGTGTGTGTGTGTGTGTGTGTGTGTGTGTGTATGTGTGTGTGTGTGTGTGCGTGTGTGTGCGTGTGTGTGTGTGTGTGTGTGTGTGTGTGTGTGTGTGTGTGTGTGTGTGTGTGTGTGTGTGTGTTTACATCTATTTATTTGTTTGTTTTGTATTATTTTCATTTATTTGGTTTATTTGATTTTGTACCTGTTTTATTTATTGTATTTTTGTTCCTTGTTTCTTTGTCCTTCCTCCCCCTCCCTCACCTCCCCTTCCCTCCCTCCCCTACCCTCCCTCACCCCACCCTCCCTCCACCTCCCTGCCCTCCCTCCCCCTACCCTCCTCTACCCCTCCCTCCCCTACCCTCCCCTACAAGATAAACAAACAGTCACTACTACACTGTCCTCGTCACCAAGTTAGGTAATTAGGTGAGAGGCGGCGCCTTGTGTGTCTATTAAGGAAGCCGCCACGTTCATGTATGTATGTATGTATGTATGACGGTAATTGATAAAGGCTGTGTTAGTTCCGTATACAGTGGCGGTAAGATAACTATAATAACCTTTCCCAACCTAACTTAATCCACCCTAACCTAACAAACTCAGCCACGACCCCCCACGCCCCGTTGTGAGCCACTGACCTGTGTTTAGGTCGTCTGTTCCTCATAACAAAATATCAAACTAAAACAAAACATAAACAAAAACTTGACGTGGAATAAAATATAATAATAATTGGGTTTTGTTTTGTTGTTTGATTAAAATAAATATAATACCAATAACTAGAGGAGAGTTTTATTAATGAAACACTCTCTCTCTCTCGCTGTAGTGGTTCATATAAAACACTACTGGTGGATATCTGACCCCCGTACTGTAGAGGTCAGTTTAACCCTTTGATGACGATGATTTAACCCTTTGATGATGATGATTTTGGCCTTTGATGACGAGGATTTAACCCTGGCCTCACCCTACACCCCCACACCCCCTGGCCTCACCCTACACCCCCACACCCCCTGGCCTCACCCTACACCCCCACACCCCCTGGCCTCACCCAACATCCCCTGCCCCACTGTACACCCCACACCCTGGCTCACCGCATACCCCTGGCCTCACCTACATCCCCTGGCCTCACTGTACACCCCCACCCCCTGGCCTCACCCTATACCCTGGCTCTCACCCCACATCCCTGGCTCAATCCTTCCTGTACACCCCACACCCCTTGGCCTCACCCTATACCCCTGGCTCAATCTCTATACCCCTGGCCTCACCCTACATCCTGGCCTCACTGTACACCCCACACCCACTGGCTCCACCCTATACCCCTGGCCTCACCCTGCCATCCCTGGCCTCACCACACCCCTGGCCTCACCCTATTCTGGCCACCCCCCACATCCCCTGGCTCACTGTACACCCTCATTCCCCTGGCCTCACCCTACCCCCCACCCACCGAGCCCCGCGAAAGTGAGCGACTCAACGAGATTTAACTGGCAAATTCAGGCCTTTTACGGTGTTTACGATGGACCTTGGTGTAGCCTGGAGCAGGTTATAGTGTGGCTCTCATGCCCAGATGATGGTTGAACTTCCTGCCCTGGCTGCTGTAACGGGCCTGCTTCATGGTGAGAGACCTGGCCGCTAACAGTGGCCTATTTCCTTTATGAGAGAGAGAGAGAGAGAGAGAGAGAGAGAGAGAGAGAGAGAGAGAGAGAGAGAGAGAGAGAGAGAGAGAGAGAGAGAGAGAGAGAGAGAGAGAGAGAGAGAGAGAGAGAGAGAGAGAGAGAATCATTTATAAATCAATCACTTACAGGACAATAATATAGCTTATAGAAAGAAAGAAAGAAAGAATATTATCTGAGTTAGCTGCAGCGTCTGGCAAGGAAGGAGAAGAAAAAAGTGGGAGGAGCCAAGACGGTGGAGAGAAATATTTAAAAGAGTAAAAAAAAAAGTTCAGGAAAAGATCAACGTCAAGAGGAAAGAGGAGGAGGAGGAGGAAGAAGAGGAGTAGGAAGAGGAGAAAGAGAGGGAGGAGATTAAGGAGGTGGAAGAGGAGAGGGGAAAGAAAAGGAGAAACAAGAGTAGAGGGGAAAAGAGGAGGAAGAGGAAGAAGATAATGAG